CCTGGACTTTTTTTTGGTTGGTAGGTTATTAATTATTGCCTCAATTTCAGAGCCTGTTATTGGTCTATTCAGGGATTCAACTTCTTCCTGGTTTAATCTTGGGAGGGTGTATGTGTCCAGAAATTTATCCATTTCTTCTAGATTTTCTAGTTTGTTTGTGTAGAGGTGTTTATAGTATTCTCTGATGGTAGTTTATATTTCGGTGGGATAGGTGGTGATATCCCCTTTATTATTTTTTACTGCTTCTTTTTTTAATTTTTTTCTTCTCTCTTTTCTTCTTTATTAGTCTTACTAGCAGTCTATCAATTTTTTTGATGTTTTCAAAAAACCAGATCCTGGATTCTTTGATTTTTTGATGGCTTTTTTTGTGTCTCTATCTCCTTCAGTTCTGCTCTGATCTTAGTTATTTCTTGCCTTCTGCTAGTTTTGAATGTGTTTGCTCTTGCTTCTCTAGTTCTTTTGTGATGTTAGGGTGTCAATTTTAAATCTTTCCAGCTTTCTCTTGTGGGCATTTAGTGCTATAAATTTCCCCCTATACATTGCTTTAAATGTGTCCCAGAGATTCTGGTATGTTGTGTCTTTGTTCTCATTGGTTTCAAAGAACATCTTTGTTTCTGCCTTCATTTCGTTATGTACCCTTTAGTCCAGTTTTATCCTTTCTCAACACCCATTCTCCATGACTTTCTATTGCCTTCAAGATAAATCAGAATCTTTGTACTAAACGTGAACCTACCTCAAAGACACATCAAAGTGTGTGGTTTCCTCTTCATTTGTAAGCTCATCCCCAATTGTTCACTAATAATCTTCTCTAGCCAAATAATATGTTACCACTTATGCAACTGTCCATCTTTCTTTTTCAACCCTATTGATTTTTCAGTGTTCCAGCTTTTATAGCTGTAAAATGAATTACCTGAGAACTTAGTGGTGCAAGTAAACATTTGTTATGCTTACTAATTCTGTGGGCCAGGATTTGAAGAGGACATGGGGGACAGGTTGTCTCTGGTCTTCAGTGTCTAGAGCCTCAGTTGGATGACTCAAATGCTGGAGGCAAAAGTCATCTGGAGGCTACTTCAATCACAAATTTAGGGGTTACACTGACTATTGGCTGGGGGCCTCAGTTCCTCTTCACATGGGTTCTGCATGAGAGTCTCCTTATGTGGCCTCTTTGCGTAGGCTAATTTGGGCTTTCTTACAGGATGTTGGCTGATTTCCCTACTGTGGCTTTCCCCAAAAGAGAAAGCCATATGGAAGCTGTATCCTTTTTTATAACCTGGCTTCAGAAGTCATATAGTATGATTTCCACTACACTTTAAGAGTTGGAGGAATCACAGCCTACCCAGCTTCAAGGAAAAGAGTAAATAACGTCTACCTCTTTGTGAAAAGTAGTGAGATCTCAGAAGAACATATAGAACCAGAAATATTGACGTGACCATTTTTTGTTGGAACAATGCCACAGTCAAGGACTGTAGTTTCTATCGCATGTGCTCTTTCAAACTCTCCCAGACTATTATAGACCATACCAACCTTTATTCATTCTGAACTCTAAAATCTGTGATCTCATTTACAACCAGTATATTTCTTTGAATTGTTAACCTTCCATGTGTATCTGTTTTGTCTCCCCGACTATACTACTAACTACTTCAGCACAATAACCTCATTTTCCCACAGGAAAGTAAGGTCTGTATTTTTATTTTCCACAGGACCTAGCGCAGAGCTTTGGACATAGTAGGGGCTCAATAAACAGCTAGATTAAAGTCAGATAGATTTAGAATGAAATGAGAGATATCACTTTTATGCATTATAAGTGAATGTGGTAGATAGTGTTTGGAAGATGGGAATGGGTGAGGCAGAGGATAGTGGATACAGTATTATAGAAATAAGCGAGAAAGGATCACCTGGTAAACACAAATAAATGTGTTTATGAATGAAACATGAAAGCTTAAATGTAATAAGGCATGATGTCAGTCAAAGGAAGGTACTTTTTTGTATCTTGTTTAATTTCAAATTTATATGTATTTTAAAACTCATCTAAGTAATCTGAATTATACTAATTGAAAGCATTAAATTTAACTCTGCTGGCATTTGAGAGTTGACCAGATGAATGTATCAATAAGGGTAAATATCATAACATGTATTGTTATATTTAAAATTATAATATTTGTCAAATGTGTTTAGCTATATTTTAAAAGCATTTTTTGTTTGGATTTATTTGCTTTTAATTTTTTTAATTTAAAAATAATGCATTCTGATAATAGCAAGCCAAGTTATATAAAGAAAACCCAAAAGGCTTTTTCTGCATTTCTATATTGAGGATTCCAATTTTGGTTTGGTATGTTTTCACAGCTTTTTCCATGTTCATTTTGTATACTTTCCACTGCTTATATGTTATTCTTCATATTTATTGTTCATGCCATAATTTATTATTTTTAAATATGCAAGGTTCATGGCTATGTCAACGGTAATTTCTCTGTGTGATGATTATGGGATCTGATTAATAGTTGTTGTTTTAAGAAGCTAATTCTTAGACTTTGTGGCAAACTGGTAAATTTGATATTTTAATTCAAAGTTGAGCTTTTTAGAGATACAGAAAACAAAGTGTTGACAGGGTAGGTTAAATTTTTCAGGTGAAAACTCTATCTACTGTATTAATTTGTTCACATATGAGAACATGTGGTAATACTATGATAGTGTTACATAAAGCTTTATAACTATTACTAACTAAAACACCAATGCTCACCAAATAACTTTCTGGGATCTCAGCCTTGTTAAACTGTTCTAAAGAATATGTGTAATTTACATTTTACTAACCATTGTAAAATTTCATACACTGAAAATTATTTGGACATAAAATTTTCATATGGATGGTAAATGAATAGCATATTGTCTTTCCAACTCTCCCCAATCTCAGAAATATTTCAGCCTTGGACCATGAAATGAAAGGAAGGGAATAAAGATTGGTCAAGTGAAAATAGTAAAGTTCTGAATTCCTATCTATAATAACTCATTTTGCCAGATCCCATTCTGTAAAACAGTTAAACTCATCTCTACTTATTATACATCTATGAGACTGAGAACTAATTTCCTTTACATTCACTGGCATAATTTTTTTTATTTCAGATATTAATTTAAAGACTCTGCCTATGTAAATATAACCTACCTGAAACTAAAATGATTCTTGGTAACATACTCAAAGTCACACATTTACATGTAACTATTATGTATTTAAGATGGCTGATCACACTGAAGTAATGAAAGGCATTCATCAATATCCAGGAGTTCGCTATCCTGTCCTTACTCCTAATCTTCAGGGTTTTCACCGTGCTGTAAGTGAGCTACTTATATTTCTAAAATTGATATGCCTCTTATTGTTTTAAAGATATTTATAAAGTTAAAGTTGTGTCATGTGTAACTCACCTGTAATATAAATACTATGCTAATGTACTAACATGAAGACATAGAGCTCCATGTCCTCACAGCATTGCTGGGGACTAAAGTGGTCTATATAGCTGGCTCTTCCAGCTTCACTGTTCAAAAGTCAAAACACAAAAGTAAAATTCTGCATTTTTGTGAAATTTTTTAGAAGTGTATTTTGTGCTTCTTCTTAAGTAATATAGAACACTAAGCATTTTTCAATGTAATTTGTATAGTTATTACTGTTGAATTTGGTAATTATTTTTGTCAGCCTTTGTTGATCAGCTTTTTGTGTCTTATTTTCTCTCTCTGGGTGAAAACTAATTGTCATGTTATCTGGCTGTAGTTACTTTCCCTATTTATCTTCTGGTTTGTTTCTTTTGATCCTCTGTGATTTAAAAATTTATATAATTTAAATAAAGCTTTAATAATTATATATATGAGACGATCCTCTTCAATTTTAAGGTGTTATCCTTATATGGGCTTATTGCATAGGTTTTACAGCAGCTATTTCTGATATTAATGAATATTAATGAAAAATATTCATTATGTGAAACTGTATTATGTAAAGTTGAGGTTGTGGGGTATTAATCATACACTGTATTTTGTTAGAACCATTTATTTTTCCCTTGGGTTTGATTTGATAAAATTTTTATTGCATTGTTTAAAAAGTCATTTACAAAATTGTAAATATTGGTGTCATCTACTAATCCTAACAAAGTAAGAACGTATCTTACCTTGAAGAAGGTACTGAAAGGACACTCTCATGTTAACTCAGAGGGGCAAGCACTGGAGTGGAACTAATCTTGACTTGGGAGTCAAGCAATTCTGTGCTCAAAATGTGACTCCAGAACTTTTACTCCCTCTGTGATATCATGCCAAGTATTTACCTTTTTTGTGCTACAGCTGTTTCATCTATAAAATGTGCATAACAACACTTAGTTTACACAGCTGTTTGTAGATGACAAAAAGCACATCCATAGTACTAAAAACAAAACAGACAAATAGTAGATGTTCACTAACAGGGTTTTTATTTTAGAAATTGGAAATTTATTTTGGATACAGGCATAGAAGCCAGTATTTTTTAAATGTTTGAGGAAAGATGAAAAGATAGCTTTTAGGTTTTTCTCTCCCCATGTATTTATTTTATTTTATTTTATTTTATTTTAGAGATGGAGTTTGGCTCTGTCACCAGGTTGGAGTGCAGTGGCGTGATCTCGGCTCACTGCAACCTCCACCTCCCAGGTTCAAGTGATTCTCCTGCCTCAGCCTCCCAAGTAGTTGGGACTACAGATGTATGCCACCATACCCAGCTAATTTTTGTATATTTAGTAGAGACGGGGTTTCACCATGTTGGCCAGGATGGTCTTGATCTCTTGACCTTGTGATCTGCCTGCCTTGGCCTCCCAAAGTGCTGGGATTACAGGCATCAGTCACCGTGCCCAGTCTCCCACCATGTATTAACAGGGGATTAGCAAGAGGGGAGAACATAGGCAAAGTGCTAGAAATATATTAACGGAAGATCTTAAACATCTAGCTAAACGACTAAGAGGCTTGACATTTGAAAAACAAGTCACTGGAGAGCCTGGAGGAAGGAATAAAATTGACAAAAAGTACAAAAAGGAAGTTGATTAGATTAATATTTTGGATTTAAAGACTGGCAAAAGGATCAAAGCATTAGGTACACAAGAGTATGGCTGTAGAAATCAGGATACAAAAAAATAAAAGCTAGATTAGGAGATCAAAGAAAAACTGGGGGCAAAATCTAAATGATGAGTTGGAAAAATATTTTTCTGTTGGATTGTAGGAAGAGAAGAAAAACAAAGTATTTAATATCTTCCATTTTAATAATTGGTTTGAAAATATTTTTTCATGGAGGATAAGGGTTTTATTGGGGTGCTAGTATTTTCCATAATTGGGGTTACAGTATTTCTGAAGATAATACATAATTTATAAAAGGCATAATTAAATAGAACATCCTCATTGTGTTTTTGTGCCTCATAGACTTATGAATACTGCAGTTTGTGGATTATTCTGTTACTATAAAATATTCTTACATTTTGAAAGAGTATATGTGGCAAGATGAGAAGAATCCAATTTTAAATTCTAAGGCAAATATTAAAGAATACATGTATGCCTTCATAAAGTAGTTAATCTTTCTTCTACCACTACCATTCACATTTTTGAAATTATTAGCTTTGGCTTTAAATTATGTTTTTCAGGTTGCTGCTGGAGCTACTGAGATATCAGTTTTTGGAGCTGCATCTGAATCCTTTAGCAAGAAGAATATTAACTGTTCCATTGAAGAAAGTATGGGAAAGTTTGAGGAGGTTGTTAAGTCTGCAAGACACATGAATATTCCAGCACGAGGGTACTTATGAAATCCCACAAATTCTGTTTTGTCAATGTTTATTGTTAAAGCTTACTCGTAAATTATCTAGAGATTCTTATATCATTTATAAAAATATACATAGAATATCGTATTTCTACTTTAATCAGGGCAATCACTATATAGTTACATCTCATTAACATCATTGATGATTATTAGTGAGTATCTAGCTTGTGGAATGTGTAATGCAATTGAAATCAGAGGAACTAGCATGCAAATCTGGCATTATTAACTATTTTTTTAACACTCTGTCACCCAAATGCAGCCTCTCATCTCAGCCTACATGTGCTGATAAGTTGGTATAAACTCACATCTTTCGGAAAAGAATTATGTAATGTGGTTTTCAAATTTTTTTTAAAAACATGACTTTTTCTTCAAAGAGTATTTTATTTAGAACTTCAATAGAATACAGCAGACATAAAATTGAGCTGCTCTAGGAAATCATTTTACCCATTCTTTCTCCCCCTCAGTGGCTGACTTCTGTACTTCCTCTGGGTGATCCCAAAGCACCTCCAACAGCATCTTGCAGAACACCATTTAAAAATACTTGATAAATTGCTTATAGAAGATAAATATAAAGTTTCAGTTCTCTACTATTTTCTATTATATATGATTTCTGTAAATTTAGGGGTATCAGAGATATCAATCCTTTTCTCCTCGCCTTGCCTTTTTCTTGTAGAAACTTATCGGCTGTTCATTCTAAGAGCTGTTGATTACAGGACATGGAAAAGAAAAACTGACCCAAATCTAATTTCCACAAACCTAATTTTCTCTCTCAGGAGTTCAGAAATGGAATACCAAACATGGTTACTTGTATTGAAAAATTATGTGATTTTTGTCACTGAGTTCACTATTTTGGGGTTCCTAGGATGGAGCCACATGCAAATCAGTGACAGGACAGAGTAGTAGAAAGTGGAAATGGAAAAAGGAGGCTCCTAGCGTGATGAGAGATATAGAGGGAGGAAGGAGAGAGGGAAAAATCTGCCTTGGTGCTTGACTACTTCCAGGACCAATAGTTGCCTCAAGTATTATAACCAGGCCTGTGTGCTGTGAAACCTATAATGCATTTTTGTGTGTGTTTGTTACTTAAGGAAGAATGTTTCTAAGACATTAGCTATTTTTTTCTATTAATTTCATACATATGGAGATATGATGAACACACATCTGAGCAAGTTAACACGTATAGAGATTGGTAATAGAAGGTTGAAAGCTGGGGATGGATTTGGGTGCAGGCTGTACTTCCCTTAGTTGAGGTGAGCAAAGTTCATAGTAGCAGGAAAGATTCATCAGTTAATGAGAAAGACAAGTGAGTCAATTTTGGCTGACAGTATTATTGAAATGATTGGAATTTCAACCAAGGTGTTTTGGGGAAGCAATTAGAGTTAGACTATACCTAGTAAAATATTTTGTTGGTTTGTTTTCTATTTATAATTTATTTTTCCTGTCCTCCATAGTAAGTCTACCTGACTTTCTAAAATTTGAAATTACTTTTGTAATTAAGATAAATACATATCATGTAAGGACTATATGAGAAAAATATAAAATCCAAGATAATGTATTTCCAAAGACATAAAATAAAGGATATCTATTTTTCAGGCCAAAGTTACATAACCACAATCAAAAAGGAGAGATATGCTATCGGTTTCTCAATTCAAATATAAATAAGTTGTCTCAATTTTTTAAAAATAAAGAGAAAGATGAAGACCCTATTCTAGTTCAATATGTGTTTAAAGTGTGGAGTACAAACTTTAGAATAAAGCAATTCTCACTGGACAGTTAAAAAGCATGTGACTATAAGAAGTAAAGTGCTTATGTGGCTTGCTCTTCAAAAATAGGAACAGTTTTTTTAGTGTTGAAAGATGGATGCAAATATAAGTTGTAGGAAGTAACTTTTTGTCATCTTAGCTTTCTCTTGTAAAATGGAATAGTTAATATAATTGGGCTAATAAAAATCTTAAACCCTCTTAATACTCATTGTTTGACAAATAATATTGCCTCATCAGAAAAATGACAACTTCTAATCGTGCTGTGGCTTAAAAAGCTTTCCAGGCTTTGATGAACAAGAAGTGACCCATGGTCAAACCAAATGAGCAGAGTAGAGTGGAGACTTTAGTGTAGAATTATACTGTAGATACATGTATGTTTTCCAATGTGGATTTTGTTCCTTTGGAGTACAATTCCTGAATTTTCTGAAACACTGTCATTTTCAGAAATATGCCTTTCCACATTTGAGTTCAGTAGCTATTTGTGTAGTTGAAAATATCTTCTTCCTCCCCACAATTTATACAAAGTTGAAATAAGATTTTATTTTTACTGGCAATCTCGATTTTAGGTATTCACCATTGTAAGTTATAAGCCATTAGTACCTATTTAAGGAAAGGAGCCATGCTCAACTAGTTGAAACTGCAGTAGATGCTTCAGCATGTCTTGCGTGGCAACAGCTGCATCAACATATACTTGATAATCATCCAGAAAATTTACGTCGTCAGTTGTCAGCTTTAAAGGCCATAAAGCAGTAGACATTTTATAAAAGCTCACTAAAATTATTTCAATTTTTATAAAATAGTAAACTTTCATATAGTCCAAATAGTAGCTTTTATTACAGTTATGAAGGCTATTGTTAAATTCTGCCACACACGCACTGAAACACACACACAACACATGCATATGTACACATTTTTAACACATGCTGAGAACTGTACATAACATCTGGGGCACATTGTGAAAAGATACTATGCCAAATCAGTGACATAAAATGCAGAGTCAGCTAACTACTGGCACATATACATTATATGTGAATGCAAAATGAAATATCTGCAGTATGGATTTTATTATTTAAGGTGCAGTCCATGTGACTTTTTTTAAATCTAGATAATTTTTCTAATAACTGTCTAAATTTTAAAAGGTTAAGAAGGCAAAGAAAAATAAAAGCCTATGACAAATGTGATTATTTTCCTTTTATCAATGGTATTTATTGAAAGAAATATCTATTGGCTTGCTAGGATCCTTTTAAAATTGAAATTCTTCAAGATAGCAAGTAGTGCTTTCATATATAAGATGTTCGGAATTTATTATTTTTTGTCTAAAGTGATTATCAGCTTCTCTTTATTGAAATGACATTAATCACATGCTCACTCTTTGTGAGAGTGTTAATTTAAAAAGAAAATTCTCAGTAAGTTGCCATTATTAATTTCATGGTTAAAATGATTATAAATAGAACGTATAAAATTACAAGGTCAGCAGGTTTGTATATTAAAGCATAAACCATGAAAGTTTCTTTACATAATCACATCTTATACTTCTCATATAAAGTGGCCTGGAATCATTTGATTTGTGATTAACCTTCTGAAAGCTTATACTGAAAGTTCAAAGAAGAGTATATTTAACAATTTTCGTAGGAGCCATACAAAATTATTAATTCATCGTTTTAACAATTACAAAATTTTAAAGTGAATTGTAACAGGTTGAATTTTTTTTCAACTAATATAGACAAGCATTGATTACTTTTAGATACAGAAAACAAAGACAATTGTCAGGTGTGATAATGTCATATTTTAGTTATAATTTATTAATAAAATGAGCTTAGTATTTAGGAGGAGGTAAGGAGTCAGATTTTCCTAGAACTGTAATTAATCTAGGGTTTTCATTTTATCCATCTCTTCAGCTACTATTTTTCTTACTATTGACTTTCTTCTTATCCAAAACCAGTGAAAATTTAATTTGGTCTTAAATGCTTCCAAAAGGGATTGCATTACATATAATCATGAAGAATTTCTTTGATGAAAGATCCTTAATGTAAGAAACTTCTTATTTTTTTATTTCTTATTTCTTCTTCTTATTTTTTTTTTAACTGGTTCAGCTCTATGTGATTCTCGTCCTTTAAAATGGCAATCTTCCCAAGTGCCATGAAGTCAGGGCACAGTATTCTCCTTTAAAACACTATTTTTTCCCTTTGAGAGATAATTTATAACTAAACACATTTATTCAAAAACTTGCAACCTACTTGCTGGGTTAGCCAAATCATCTAGGTCACATTGCATTGAGTTTGTGTTTCCTGTTCTCCTTGTCTAATGTAGAATCTCAGTATGGACTCAGATCCTGACCCTGAAGATAGCAGTGTTACTGAGTGAGATAATGAGTCTCCTTACTTAGGGCTCCATTTTTAAGTACACTGTGACTAGTAGCCAGCATTTCTTATGACAGAGCATCAAATCCCTTCCATTGGATGATCTGCCTCCATGGTACACTTGCATTTATAGCATCATATTCTTGTAAGTGGGCAGCAAGAAGCTGCCCGCAGAAGTTCCTTTCCAAATTCTATTGTTCAATTGAGGCCTAGGTCTGGAAGAATGATTCAATCATTATGTACCACCAAAATATGGTACATAAAACTCTAAAAATAAGACATATGTTAAAGCTATTTTCTTTCATACATATGGTTTGTTTAAGGGTTTATACTTTTAAGCTTTATATATTATTCTGGCACTGCTGTGTGCCAGAATAGCACATACCCAGCAGCAGTTAATATTTGTAAGCTGGGTTTGTGCAGTTGTGTCTAAATAGCTTTCATTTAGACATTTTGAGGTAAGAATGTGTTTAATCATTTCTCATGAAATTAGCATTAATGCTTTTTTGTTATTAAATATTCTCTTGCTAGAGTATACCTTGCCATACCTGGGCAAGAAGTAGAATTGTAATTTATGCAAATAATTTCAAGAAAGTTAATGGTGTCCCTAAGGTGTGAAATTAATTCAGCACAGATAGTGGTTGAATGGTATATGTCCATAGTCCATACAGTCACTTACAATAATTTAAAATTATTGTTTACATGCTTTTTCTTTCATTATATATGATGTCAATGTGAAACAAGCATGTAACAAAGTGAATTTAATAAATATGAAAAGAGAGTTGTGCAACATATGAAATAGAAAAATGAACATTTAGAAGGTTTTATCATGAGATTAACTTTGCTATGAATTCCT